CCCCCGGGAGAGCTTCCCCCCCACCTCAAAAAGAGGAAGATCCTGGCAGAGACCTGGACAGGTGGCAACCCGTTCGTGGCCTTGGTTGCATGCGGCCTACCTCGGTGCCGTGAGCCCCCCTCCCACCCCCCCCCCCCCTCCCACCGCTGTTCTTTTTGCCTGTGAGAGCAATGAGAGAAGACGCTTGAGTGAGTGCCACACGCCTGGCCGGGAGTGCCGAGAAGTGACTTAATGGAAAAGAAGACCGCCTAATGGAGCGCACGTCCTTGGCGTGCAAGGTGGATCGCGGCATTTTGTTACGCGGCGACTCATGAAATGCCCTGCAATTTGCGCCGTGAATAGATCTGGCCCTTTTGTGCCTAATGTTTGTTGTAATTTATACAGTTTAAAGTCTGTGTGGATTACGCAGCCTGTCCGGTGCCTACGGCACACGTGTGTGTGTGTGTGTGCGCGAGCATTGATTGTACATTTACGTGAACACGCGCGTGCCCTTTGGTCGATCTGCTACCGGGTCTGGGACCTTCATCATGCCATGCAGTCCTTGCTAGTTAGTTTCATCGTACATCACCACACTGATCATTGCGGGTTGGTGAAGGCACCTCTGATCGTCGTGGTTGATTACGTATGGTGCGAAAGAAGTTCTGCATAAATACATGCCAAGTGCAGTGCAAGAGTGGATTTTTGCTGCACTGCCCATGGTAGCATACAGCGCAAGTTGTTTTGCACGGTGGTCACCCACTCACAGCACTATCCGGGCACAACAACCCCTGCTTTGCTTTCAAGATCTTACGACATTGGGCGCACTCCCGGGAGATTTGGACATTTGCAGCGTGCGCACGGCTATGCATTGGTGAAACAGCACCGTTGATGCTCTCTGCGCCAGTGAGCCGTGGCGGAGTGTGTGCTGCTTGCTTTTTTAGCTGCATCCTCACTAATGTTTGCAGCCTAAAAACAACGGGCCTTCGGAGCATCCTTTTGTTCTAAGTCGCAAAATAATAACACCTGGGTATCTGCGTACTACAAAACCAGGGTATGTGCACCTGTGCTACTTACATGGCTTTAGTTACTAACGCAACTGTGAGTCCTAACGCCCACATTCGATAATTATTGACGGTGCACAGAGAGATTGGTACCAAAGCGTGACTTGCCCCCCCCCCCTCCACGAGGTTGACTCTGCATAAAATAAGAGCGTGGTACAATGCGTACTACGTCTGCAACTGGAGAGGCGAAGGTGGCCAGAACTGGTGTCGGTCATACCACCCCTGTACGCGCCGTGTTGGCGTGATCGAGTACTGGCTAACGGCCCGAGTCTCAACGGTGCGAGCCTGTAAAATGTGGTGGCTAAGCACGTGGCCCGAATTCCAGCACTGCGGAGGCGAGGGGTTGGTGGATCGCCGGAAAAAAAAAAGGAGCCAAACTTTTTTTTCTCCACCTGATGACGACCGTTTGTGTAGCGATCGAAACGTCGTGGTTTTTTGTAAAAAAATTTTTTAACCTATCGACGTGACTTTACCGAAAGACCCAAATAATATGAATACCTGCAGTCACGAAAGTTTTAAGCCAGCCAAGTATGGACTCAGTTTCAATCAGTCCCATCTGTAATAGGGACATAGTGTTTGCCCCCCTTGCAGATTTGGATTTTTTGAGTGATCTTGTTTTTTCTCACATCTATAAACACTCATTGATTGGCTGAAAAAAAGAAGAAATATGCACCTTTTGGCAGTATTGTGTGATGCAATTGCAAAAATGACGCGGTATAAAAACTAAATATGCAACATGTAACTTTATGTATAACTGCGACAACACTCTGCTTATAACACACTTGTTATATTAATTGCAGTTTTCTTTAAGTGCAGATAGCTCTCGGCACTGTAGTCTTCTAAACCGACATTACAAGGGTACGCGTGTATAAATACGAACAGATTCCAAGTGTTGCATTCGCGATAGCATATTGATGCTTGAAAACAGTTATACCTCCCCGGTTTCAAAACAAAAAAAACAGTGTCTATAATACTCGGATATGGTGAGAACTAGCCCACATGTTAACCAGCACACCGAATAAATAATGAATTCGAAAGGCTTCTCGTGGTTTTGCGCACCCTTCGTACAACTGACCTTGCAGAATTCTCAATACAGTGCGGTGGAAAGATAGCCTTGCGAGAACACAGAACAACTCAGGGGCCTCCCTCGCAGAGTACCACTCTCGCGTGGGCGTCAATCCGCCTCGTGCTGGAACAGCTCCCCAGTACGGCGAGCGGTCACGCACGGGCACTTGCTTTTCGTACGCATCGGAATAACGCAGAAATAACAGCGTTGCCAAACATTTGGGTGGCAGGGTGGTAACGCTTGTGTCGCCCCCTCCCCCCCCCCTTTTCCTCACACAGAGAGAAGGCTCCTGGGTTCGATGCTGTAGATTGTGGGCCTTTCTGTGTTGAGTTTCTATGTTCATCCCCGGTTCCGCATTGACTTCTTCTGGGTTTTCTGGTTTCCTCGCATCAGCGGAACCCCCTCCCCCCTCCCCCCCCGCCGCCCCCTGCCCATAAAATGTAACTGGAATTGGACAAAAATCCCAGTGCTCGAAATTTACTTGGATGTTACTCCATTGGCATTGCACACAGCAGTGACATCGCACACCCTCCCAGACCTTCTACTGCGAATATTTGGCAGGACTCTTTTGAAACAAGGGTCTTGAGACTCGTTGAGGCTTTCCTAGGTGAATAAGCGGAATGATAATACCGGGCAGAATAACACAGAAATAATCACGGTGCAAATATATTTTCCGTTTAGCTTTAAATGTTCCGTAACAAGTTGAGATTCCCCAAACTGCATGTTCTTTTTACCCTTGCAGCTTTCTAAGGAACGGTCTTTAGTTTACTACGTTTACTACGTTTATTGATAACGTTGCTGCGATAAGTTGTTTGCTGTGGTTTGTGATTGCGATAACAAAAAATCCAATTGTTACTGAATCTAGCCTGAGAATGCTGGGAAAAACGGCATGGGATGCATTAAAATTGGTTATGAGAATGAGGTACAGCACTAGGAAAAATACACAGACTCCAATCTAATATTAATCTTATTTTCAAGAGCAACTTCACATGCCGATCGTATAAACGAATTAGTGCTTTGAAGTTGGTGGGTCCCTTCTTTGAAAAATAAAGTGGTATCGTGTGCGACAGCCTACGCATACCTTTTAAACATCCCGTTTTCAAAATTGTTTCATCACCCCTCCCAACCACTACACCATCATGACCATCCCACCCCTGGATCACATCCCACAATGCTGCCCCCTCCATCAAATCAATTCGGGAAAGTTAAAGAAGTCAAAACAGTTGCGCCGTTGACCGGCTTTAAAAAAAAAACCTTCCACGATCGACAAACTCAATGTCGGTACAAAGTTTGACCGCAGCCGTCAACATCCAAATTCTCTTCTCACTGTTTGTCGTCAAGTCCCGCAAAATGTGCAAACCCCCGTCTCCTCCCCTCCCGAGGGCCGCCAGCTCTTTATACGGCCATACCACGTGCGCCGGGCACAGCGGCGGATTCTCTTTTATAAATAAATCCCGGGGACCGGGCTGCGTTGCTTAAATCACTCGGCCACATGCACCTCAAGCACGTGCGCTCTATACCCTGCGACGACTGGGTGTGATTAAGAATGTCACGCTGGGCATTTAATATTCTCTGGGACTGGCAACTCACTGAGCCACGACCGCGAAATGTTTTAGCTTTGTATCGTAATGACACGTCTTTTTAATTGTAATCGGTTTACGTGTTGACTTTTTTTTACTCTGTTTTTAAGTGATTGCTTAATTTATTGGTGTTCTCAAGGTCACACAACTAAAAAAAATGTTATTTCCAACTTTGCTGCTCAGTCTCTCCGATCTGAACAAGAGCCAGTGTGTGAAACGTTAGCCTACAAATGCACACTTTTTTCATTCTACTACTGGATATGTGCCTCCCTCGGCTGTACAGGCAGTAAGAGTTACTTGACCGTATTTTTCAACCCTGGTCAGTGTTGGTAGAAAGTGGAGGAAAACATAACAATGCATTTTACGGCACTGCCCTCTACTGCCCACAATGCCTAGTGCACCTGTTGAGTGTACCTGGGGTCACCCATGCATGTTTTTCCTTTGAACAATCATTATTGACTTCTCACCATGTGCCACAGATTTATTATTTGATTTCCTCTTATAGTTGTCCAAGTGGAATGAAAGGTTAAGTTAATGTTGGCTGGCATTTAAGCTCAGAATCTTATGATTGTGATATTTCAGCTCTGGGCCCCATCTCAGCCTTTGTAAACAGTACTGTGCCACTAAGAAAATAAGTGTATAGGTTCGTGTTCACGTGTGCATTTATTCACCTTAAAACTATTTCCGGTGTTTACTCCTTCATGAAACGGACGGACGGGATTAAGGTACAACATTTACATGGCACAACTTTCCAAACGCTACTTTTAATTTACATAGAAAACAGCGTTGCAGTAAAATTCCATTGACATGGTTTAAGTGATTTGCATAATGGAGTTGTGCAACTTTAGCTGAGTTTTTTTTTGTTGTAACCTTGCCCGGACGTTTTCTCCTGTTTTTCTTCTCAGCATTGCATTGAAATACTTGGGAACCACGGGCATTGCAGCTCCGGATCTCTTTTGTTCGTTGATGATGCCTTGGTTGTTGTACACCGCTGGCGATGACACCGCTGTCTCGAAACCATCGGAGAGGCACCATTTTGTTCACGGGGCCGCACGTTCGTCGCTTAGCATTGGCGAGCGTTCAGATGGCTGGAGAGTAGAGGACTGTCAAGCCAAACTCTGAAAATCTCAGCCCGGCTATTGTCGCTGTTGCCCGTTTTCTCTCCCCCCCCCACCCCCCTTCCCAGCCTTGCGTATAAAAAGCGCGGGGCGTCTTCGTGAAGATGCGGCATTGAGCGCGCGAAGGCATCGGGCAACATCAGCAGAGTGCAATGAAATCAGGCGTAGGTTTACCCGTGCTCGCGTCACGTCAATAAATAAGGGGCCGCTAAGTGCCACGCATGCGCACGGTGCTCATCCGTCTATTAATACCTCGTGGCTGGTTTTGGTCAGGAGTAGCTTGCAGACGGGAAGGGTTTAGATGCTTGCATGGAAAGCGGAGAGCAGGTGCATAGCTAATCTGCTTGCTTCAGCCATACCAGCAATTCGCGAGCAGCACAGTGTGTGATCCCTGAGGCCCTGTCACGTCGGTTGTCCTGGGGACCAAAGCGGCTACGGCAGCTGTGCGCGTTGCTTGATAGTTTGGTGGCGGCGGACGGCCGCATTGGCGCGAGCGCTGTGTCCGCAGGCAGTCTTCACCATGGTCGAGTGTGAATTGACGAAGGGGTTGCATGTGTTGCCCAGCGCCGCGCGGCTCTGTCAGATGTAGGGGAATTCCGTAGGTGAGCAAGTACTTTAGGTCGGCGTGCCTTCCAACATTGCCGAACGGAGTCGGTTGTGTGCAGGACAGAAGGAAGGGATTGGCGTGTGATGATCGACGATTTAAAGTAGAGAATGCATTCACAGCCCCGTGCCCTCTGTGGACGATCACAGTGGACTGAGTCGATTAGAATACGATGGGGGGCGGGGGAAAAAGATGATTGCAGTCGTTTGTCTACTTTATTTTGGGGACAAAATATGTATTTTTTGCAAAACGTCACCGTGATGCAGCTTCTATAGAGCACTCGCAATGCATTATTTTTGAAGCATCAAAAAAATAATGTGAGCTTTCGATGAAAATAACCATGGCTGGCCCAGACCTAAATGCCACATGCGAGCAACGGTAGCAAATGTATTATTTTGGTCTCGTAAATAATTTGGATTAATTAAATTGAAATAAAAACAAAGCACTGCGCGTAAACAACGGCTGATTAAAGCGTCGGCCTTAATGCATTCTGTGTGTAAAAGGCGTTTGAATGCTGCGGCGATAAAACCCGGCGGAGTGCCGTGCTGCAGGCCGCATGCTGCAGTGCAAAAGTGCGGTCTGCATGAAGACCTGCAGGGCTGATTTAGAGTGAGTGGCTTTCCCTTTGCTTTCCGACTACGAAGCATCTGCAACCCCGCTTGCAATTTGTATTTTGCGAGAGCTTTTTCCGGCACAGTGCCGTGGTTGAAGATGATGATGCCGCCGCCGCCGCCGCCGCCGCTGCTGTTCATGATGATAGTATCTATGGTTGGTGATGATGAGAATAATAATGGTAATTACGATGGTCCGGATAACAGTGATAATTATGATAATTATGACTCGATAACAATGGTGATCGTCTTGATAACGGTGGTGATGATTTTTGATATTGTTTTGGTAACCGTGACGATGTTGGTGATGGTGGAGATAGATGTGATGACACTAATGAAGCTCATGATTATGTTAATATCGGTGATGACAAAAATATTATAGGTAAGTGCTAATGTTGGTCCTGACGATGTTGATTGTCTTTATTTAATGGTCATGATGGTGACTGTTCTGGATATCGAAAATGATGGTTGTGATCACGACCTATACTCTGAATAATGATGACGAGGATGACGACGATATTCTAAATAATGGTGATGTGCTGATAATAATGACGATTATTACGATTATCATGATTTTAATGATAAAGAGTAGCTTTTGTTTTGCACCACTCATGTTAGGTTTTTTTAATTTTAAACAATTCAAAGACCCCGGGGCAAGGGCCCCCCCCCCCCCACCCAGTCTCTCCCATCCCCTCATCCCACCCCCGCTCCCCAGTCTTCCAGTCCCCTATTGCCCCCCCCCCCCCATCTAATTTCTGCGAAGTCATATGACCCCTAGCGCTACCGCTACAGAAAGGCCCACAGCTGGGCTCCGGGGGTCGGGGCGGGGCCTCGAAATGAGATTCTGCACCGGCCTCGCAAAACATCTCGCGAAAATAAACCGACACCGTGCACGGGCGACGGGGGTGGTGATGGCCTTGGGGTCCGGCCATCGCACCGCGCAGGGCCCCCCCTGCGTGGATGCGAGCGGCCGGCGGGGGGGGGGGGGGGCCCTGGGCCGCTCTCCCGCTTTGGGTTCTCCGTGCCGCGCGGCGCTTTGCAAACGCGGTCGCGCCGGCACTGCCTTCGATTTGCTGCTGCTGTTGCTGACGGCGCAGCGGTGTTTATACGTCCAGAACAATTGGCAGATTATTCGTGGCCTTTTGATTTTTCACGCACCGGGGATAAATTTGGCATATCCTGATGTAACGAGACAGGCGTGGGGGGGGGGGGGGGTTGGCGGGCTGACGTGGCTCTGCGCAATTGTGCAAACACTGTCGCATGCACTGCGCGAGCACTTGCTCGCTGGGCAGGGCGGGCCGCCGCCCATGCCGAACAAACACGGTTAATATTGCAGCGTCGTTTGCGCCCTGCGATCAGCTCTCCATATCTGGACCCTTATCACCGCGAGGTGCGCATGTTGAAATGTACGGCCATGATGTGCAATCCAATTCGTCGAATTGCCCGAATAAAATGATGCCATTTACCCCCAGAAATTAAATTGCAAATAGGTTACAATTTTGGCTGAAAGGTTCCCCCAACTGTGAAAATGTTTCATCCGCCGGTGTAAATTTTAAAATTAATTTGCGTTGATATTTGTTCTACTTTGGGACCCACATTTTGTAGCGTACTTAAAAAAAAATCCACGCATTAAAAAAATAACAATCTAATATTTAGTCTGAAGTAGGCATGTGGAATTTTTAAGAGGACTGCTTTGCATGCAAGGGTTCTGCTCGCTTGTTAATATGCGGCATGCAGTGTGTTGTTTCTTCCTGGCCTTGTTGCTCTCATCATTCTGTGTGGGCTGCTAAAGGCTGCTGAACGACTGATCAAGGTGAAACGCCACCCTTCCCTACCCTTTGGTTCTATTCGGTAAAGTCACGTAGGCGACCCGCGTCATGACGCCTGTTTTATCTGAGGACGGCACCATGGATCTTAACATTGTTTTATTCGCTAATCCATTAAATGTGTCGTCGGTTTGGTTCTGTACTGCGTGAATGTTTTTTTTTACATGCACACAGATATAGTCTGAATAATTCAATTTGTCTTAACCTACGGGGGATGCTAAAATTATCCTTTACGTGCATATCAGCTGAGCACGGAAGTTAATATTTAATATGAGACCTGTCTTTGCTAGGGCCTTCTGGGTAATCTATACTACTGAATCATTAATGCGGAGGAAGCAAGAACTGGGCATGAAGCTAATTACTTTCCCCCTGACGTGAGCAGCGTAGGTCAGTTTGACATTGCTGAATAGCACTTGGAGGGCATTTGAATCGCATTGCGGGCATATCAGCTGATTGTCCCTCAAAGGCTTATAGGAGCTGTTCTGTTGCCTACAGTCGAGCTCCGGGGTAGGGGAGTGATCGCAGACACGTGATCGTTTAAAACAAATAAACAGGTTGGCCGAAAATAATTACGTTCCCGCTTACTCTAAAAACAATTTTAGGGGGGGATAAAGTGTTGACTCGTCGATCAAGCGTGATGCTGTGGCGACGATGACAGTTGGCATATTGTCTTTGTGAGATCTAAATTTAATTCCCCCCCCCCGCCCGCCTCCGCCAACACCTTCTAAACCCGGACAGCAACAATATAAACATATTTTTTAATGCGTTTAAAACACGTGACCTCCAAGCGCCTCTCTCAATCGACGACGCGTGAACGCAGGAAGCGCAATGGCAGTCAACAAAAGCAGGACGTGCTGACATGACTATTTTGTGCCTCCTCTGATGTCTGGCTGTGCATACGCCCGCACGCACTCGCTTTGCTCCAGACTGTCCGGTGTCCGCCTCCCGTTTTTTTTGCGTTGGAGTTGGGTGACCTGGGCAAGCTCGGGCGTACAAAGTTCCTCCGTTGTGGTAGGGTGGTGGTGGCGTGGAAGAAAGATTTTGATCGCTCTGCCTTTTATCTGTTCTCTGGCTTTGGAGGTACTGCGCCACTTTCTAGCAGGCCATTAGTGTTTGTGCATCAGTGTCAAAATGTATTGAGTCTTATTCCCAACAGAAAAAAAGCACAGCTTTATTTAACAAGATTTATGCGACTTAACTGAGCGGGCGTTGTATGGGGACAGTATGAATGGATGAAATAAATAAATTAACTTGGTAAATTTATTATGTGCCTGTGTTCCAACAATGCATCTTCCTTTACCTTTATTAATGGTACTAGTAATGCCAAGAGATAAATAAAACATTGCATATAATTCTGATATGGCTTAATCATCAATATAAAGTCTGGCCTTGGAAAGCCATTCCCATATGAAGTCCGGTACAGATGTAGATAATTTATTCAACTTTATTTTATAGTTAAGTCAAATGTTCAGTGCAATATTTGACCTGCTGCCTAAAATAATAACTACACTGTTGTAGTAAAATATAAATCAGCCCTTTGTAATGGAGTATTAATTCACACCATTCCACTACTTGGGTTTTTAATTAACGTGTTCATGTTGTGTGTGTGATTAGTTGGTTACGCCTTCAGAAATGATGTTGAATCCGGCAATGTGGCCCGATGACAATATCAAGTGACAGCCATGTTCTGCCCGCCTGTTGCGGTCACATCTTCGGTTCCACGGTGCCTCGCCGAGCCTTCAAACGCGCCTCAAAATGTACGGCCGACAACGAAGGAAGCAATGTCTCAGTCCGTGGTCTGCGATGGGTTTTTGTGTTGTTGTTGTTGTTGTGCTCCCCGTACGTACACGAACCGCGCGCTTCATAAGGAACTCGCACTCCCTGATCAGTGGGTGTGCGGGCTGGCAAGAGGGCGGAGGAGCGACTCGTATATAATTATCAGCCCCCGTTACGCGAGCAGGATGAGAGTTTGGGGGCCGATGGGAGTTTAGGGGGCGACGCGGAGGTCAGCGGGACTATTTGCTGTGCAATGATTAAATCGGGAAAGGGAGGTGGCTTATGGGAAGGGGGAGGCGCAGGGGGTTTGCGACTCCTACAGTTCATCTCGGTGCAATGTGCGGAGGGAGGTGGCCGTACCGCTGCAAGCCGTCTCCAGTCAGCCCGAGGCCTGACACCACTAACCTGGGCTGATTGAATAGGCTGAATGGTTTGTCAATTTTTATATATTTATTTTCCCCCCTCTCCATCCAGAGTAATCCCAACAGATGCTTTTAAATACAGTAACCCCTTAGTGGTGTTGCAGGTGCTGACTGCAGAGCCCAGGAAAACAGCCATTTGATTTGTTATATATATTATTTTTTTTCTGAGCACACGCTCCGGATTATTCAAATGCCGCACATGACTGTGGTGTGTGCGCACACACGCGCCCACCGGCTAAGAAATATGATGTTTGCGCCATCGCCGTGTGCGTGCTTGCGAGTTTGAGGATGTGAAAGTTCCGTAAATAGCACAGAGCAAAATCCGCTCCACTTTTACCATTAACTTTTCCTTGCAACAGAAAAGTATACAGTGTGCTAATGTTCTCGGGCAAAGACCATCCTTCAAAATCCTTTGCCCGAAGAGATAGCTCACAACATATGTGTTCTGCTATAGGACAGAAGTGTTAATCGTTCAGGTTGTGAGTTTTGTTCACGCTTGTTGTACACCACTGCATGTGCAGTCAGTCCTACGATGTCTTATTACGGTTAATGGTAGGGTCGTGGTGCCAGTGGTAACACCGATGCCTCGCTGCAAGACTAGTGTGGGTTCAATTCCTAACTCGGGCAACTTTCTGTGGGGAGTTTTATCTTCTCCCCCTGTTGATTTCCTCCTGGTTCTCTGGTTTCCTCCCATGGCAAAATAAAAAAAAATGGTTTTTGCTCAACATCACAATGTTGAAAAAATAACCACAAATTACTCAATTGTGAAAACGAAAAGCAGCAACATCGGCCTCATACTGCTAAAACTTGGCCAGGACCCGCCTGACAAAGAATGTTGAGACTGTGACGATTTATTGGGGCTGACAAGCATAAATATAGTGAAACGTTTTGTTGGTTTAATTTAGTTGTTACATTTTCAAGACGTGTGATAGTGGAAGAAGTAATTTAAAACGTAATTGTTTTATCTTTGTGCT